CCCCCCCCCCCACACACACTTGCCGTGTATAAGGGGGCAACCATTTTTTTTAAAGTTTTGGATGGTCTGTGGAAGGGTTAGACCCTCTAACAAGTTTTTTTATTGCTGTCCGCGTCTCCTTATGGGTGAGATTCACCCTCTATGTCAGTGTTAGAGACCGGGTTAGGGTTAAGGTTAACACCGTTGTCACCGGGAACGGAAAGTCGGGGAAGTCCTACATTTTAGAACTGTCATGTGACCAAAAGGTGAGGAGATATCTTCCAATGGGGACAAATGTTCCGGTAATAACAAAGTCAGCGGGGTATCCCTAATTTTGGGGCGACTTACTCTCATTTCCTGTTGTTTTTCCCCAGACAGGAAGTGAAGGAAAGGTCTTCATAGCAGGACACGGTCAGCAACAAATAACCTTATAGGGGTATATTAACCCTTTCCTGTCCCATCCATTTTTTGGGGAGGCTATACATAGATTTTAATAACAAGGTGTATATAAAGAGCTCGTTGATCCCCAAGACCTGCACTGAAGTTTGGGCTGGATAACAACGCTCCCTTTCATTTCATAGACTAGAGACCTCCAGCTGATGACATTTCCATTGAGGCCACCAGAGATGACCTTGTGGATGTCTTTTGGTGTCAGGACATAATCCCACATGTGGACGTCACTCATTTCTCCAAGGAATAGCTTATAAGAATCAAACTTTCCCCCAAAACTAGCTTGTTCCTGTCCCAGAACGATGCTGGTTTCGGCCTCGATGGAAAACCCTTTCCTGGAGACTCTTCTGGGGCTGAGCTTCCCATTGACCCAAAGTTGGACCACCCCAGTGCTGGAGTCCCAGGTCACACAGGTGTGTCTCCAGTCCATGGACTCCGGATCTGTTCTGTACGTTGTGTACTCGTTATTTACGATCACATGATAGTAGGTTGGAGAATTCGAGAAGAATGAAAATGCATTTGCACTGCTGGGAGTAGAGAGAGAGAAGAGACTATAGGGGCGGGCAAGATGGCTGTAGGAATTCAGACAGACGCTGACCTTCTGCAACGGCTCTGTAATCGTCAAATTCAGGATCACATGATCTGTGGACGCTTCCATGGGAAAGACGAACACTTTACCCTCCAAATCTAGAAGAAGACAGAGAAACACACCACACGTGACTGATGCATATCAATGAGTTTATACTCTTAAAGGTAAAGTACACCTTCCCCTGTGCAATTTGTCAAAATGTTGTGTAATGTAAATTCCGTACCTGTAGGCCTGGCACCCCCAAAGCTTGCCTGAAATACTCCCATAGTGCTGTCCTGCCCACATCCTGCCTAGATTTCAGGACACACCAGTCGTTGGCAGCTCACCCCCATCATCAAAGGAGTGAGTGAGCTGCTGTGTTCTATGTGCTCTTTCTTCCCTATTACAGTAGAGTCTGATGGGGGAAGGGAGAGCGCACTGCTCATGCATGGCTTATGAACGTGGGAACGCGCTCCTTGGGTCCCCCTGTCTGCATGGGACGTTTTATGAAAAAGGTGAACCTAGCTTTTCAGGGATTTCCAAAGCCTGAAATTGTTTTCTTTTCCATGGATGGAGTAAGGAAAGCTGAGAACCCCCATGACAGGTTCTCTTTTCCAAAGTGAGGAGAAATTCCCTCTTACACAAATGGAAGATTTTCCTTCGCCCAATGTCCCGGTCAGCGTAGGTGTGTGAGGTATCGCTGGACCTATCCGATGGGTGGTCAGCGTAGGTGTGGGAGGTATCGCTGGACCTATCCGATGGGTGGTCAGCATAGGTGTGGGAGGTATCGCTGGACCTATCCGATGGGTGGTCAGCATAGGTGTGGGAGGTATCGCTGGACCTATCCGATGGGTGGTCAGCGTAGGTGTGGGAGGTATCGCTGGACCTATCCGATGGGTGGCCGGTTGAGGTTCCGAGCCTCTGATATTGTAGGGAGGGTTCTCTGTAGCCAGCTATCTCTTGGAAGGCTCCGGGAGAAGTTGGTCCTCCCAAAGGTGGAAAGAAGTGCCGTAATAGGAAGTTTCAAACTCTTGTAGCGCCCCTCAACCTTCTGTGAGGTGACTTCTGGACATTTAGTGATAGACGGGGCTGTAGTCGGCCTGGCTGGATTTGTGGTGGCGATGATCTGGTTAATTCCAGGTGTCTGGCATTGCCTGTACCCCCCCTGGGCGGAGTGTGACTCTGTCATATTGTGGGACAGCCAATGGTGGATACTGTAATGTATGTACAGTACAGCAGCCAATCACTGGGCCTCTCTCAGCCAGTGGTGCATGCTGGGACAGAGTACATATATTGGTTGGAGCTGCCATGTGCTCTCTCTCTCACCGGGACCAGCCATGGATTAGGGCTGGGTCCCGTTCAGCCTGCCCCCCAGGCTAGGCTGAGGCCTGGGGGTGGGCATGGGCTGGAGCGAGGGAAAAGGTTTCCCTGAGGGCTCCAACATGGAGGAGGCCTGAGAGACTGAAAGAGGAAGAGAACCAGGACCAGTGCCGGCTCTTGAAGTGCCTTGGAACTAAGTGGACTTGAGAGCACGGTCGGTATCTGTCATGGTCCTTGGAATACTGAACCATGTTTCCTTGACTATATTACACAGGGTGGGTCCTCCACCCTGTCTTAGGGTTGAATCACTCTGTGTTTGTTTCATTGTTCACCGTTTGTTGTTTATGTAATGTAATTATCTCCTGGGACTTCTCTGTGTCATTACCCATATCAGCCCTCCCATTCAAGTTATCGGACCAATCCCTGCTGACTCTGCTTCAAGCCTTCATTTGCATGACCAATAGGAAGGTTTTGGTTTGGGAGGGTTGTTCAAACTGTTGTGTATAAAAGTGTGTGTGTGCATTCAATAAAGCAGATCCCTGTTGGAACTTACATACAGCCGGCCTGGTGTTTGTTCTGAGCTGGATTGGAATGGCACATAGCTGTAGTTCCAATCCCGGATTATCGGACGATCGAAGAATCAGACGTTGCGGTCTGACATCTGATCCAATAGTAGCAGAGGAGTGGCGGGAGAGCGGAACCGAGCGAGCGGGGGCCCGTTACATTGGTGGCAGTGGTGGGATTATCTTTCCTGGATTGAGGATCTGCATCCATCTGGACTGTCTGGTACATCAGTGGCTAGCTAACGTGGTCGGGTGGATCTGCATCGCTACTTTTACAAGGTCCGGTGGGTCTGGAGCTCTTGTTGGTTACCCCTAGACACCTAGAACCCCCTCCCGCCCCCCCATACCCTCTCTCCCAAAGAAGATGTTCAATAAACTGTTTACTTAGCATGTTTACTTACTACTGGATTGGACATTAGTTTATGGGCACCAGAAGAAGGGCGGTTGGTGCTAATGGGTGGGCAGCTGAAGATCATCCCCCAGACAGACTAGAAATGAACCGGGCAACCAGCGGCTCCTCAGGGAGTTATCGCTACACTATTAATTGCTAAAATACCTGAGAACTGTGTGTAGGCGACTGACCCCTCCGCTATGGATGGCCTGGTCATAGGGGAAGCATGCCGTTTCTGCAGAACAAAGTATGGAATACACTGCATACTGTGCCCATGTAGGTCCGGTGGGTCTGGAGCTCTTGTTGGTTACCCCTAGACACCTAGAACCCCCTCCCGCCCCCCCATACCCTCTCTCCCAAAGAAGATGTTCAATAAACTGTTTACTTAGCATGTTTACTTACTACTGGATTGGACATTAGTTTATGGGCACCAGAAGAAGGGCGGTTGGTGCTAATGGGTGGGCAGCTGAAGATCATCCCCCAGACAGACTAGAAATGAACCGGGCAACCAGCGGCTCCTCAGGGAGTTATCGCTACACTATTAATTGCTAAAATACCTGAGAACTGTGTGTAGGCGACTGACCCCTCCGCTATGGATGGCCTGGTCATAGGGGAAGCATGCCGTTTCTGCAGAACAAAGTATGGAATACACTGCATACTGTGCCCATGTAGATGCTATTGCATTGGACAGCGCAGATCCTCGTAGGGTACAGGAGCATTGTAAGGCATCTGAGCACCGTGTTTAATTGAGTATCTTCAGGAAGCTCATGGAGGGGAGATTTAAGTCTTAGAAGTAACAGATTTAGGTTATTATTTTTAGAAGGTATCACCTACCTTCCTGTGCCAGAGACCCGAGGATCGTCACCAGGAACAGCAGCACACGCGGCTCCATCTCCCTGAATAAAACACATCAGTTAGATGGAACGGTCCACATCCCGACTCAGCAATCATTGAGGATTCATCTACTATCAGAATAGAGAATTGTGCTCTGATCCGAGACAACCAAATAGACCCCACATACTGGTAGAGACATCCTTCTATCATCA